GATCACGCTTCGGTTCTTATCCCAGCTGCCTTCCTCCAGCTCTCACGCTGCCCGCTCCTCCGCCCCCACCCCGCTCTGCTCTCAGCGCAGCGTCATCCCGTGGAGACCTCCAGCTCTTACTCTGTTGTAGCTCGGAGCTCTGGGTTGAGAGACTTGTCAGAAAAACCATGTGGTTTCTCCCTTGGCCCTCTCATGTCTTTCTACATATCTGACAATTTCCCTCATGTTCTCTGGAAATTAATGTTCCTAACTCCCTGCAGACACTGACCCCTTGCCAGAAAACCCATTTCTAAGCTGTTCGCGTGAGCCAGTCTCTTACCAGAGATGCACTTTCCCTCCTTTGTTAAATAAACAGTCCCTGCGTCAGAGGCCCTTTTCCTGCAGTAAGGCAGGAATAGGAAGCATCTGTCCACCTGGTCCTTGGGGCTGTGTGGCCTGCCCAGCGGGGCAGAGCCGCTGCGGCCCTGACAGCAGTGCTCTGCCTGGCTCCGGAACAGCCTGTTCCTCAACCATGTCACCCACGGCCCCTCCTGGGACAGGAGCCCCCTGGGATTTGCGGCATTCTGTCTCTCCCATAGCGACCCTGCCCCTTCTAGAAGCTGGTCAGATCCCACAAGGGACTTCTGCCTTCCTTCAGCCCCTTCTGCTCTGTGTGCCGCAGCCTTAGCCTCACATGCACTGTGGTAGGGCCGAGGGATTCCGCTCTCAGAAGGCCCGGTGCAGAGAGGTCGCTCATTGAATGTATGTGTGCACACATACATGCTTCATATATTTTATGTGCAAGTTACATTTGTTTCACATTATACACACACATCTGTGTGTGTAGTTTTTCTGTGTGTTTCTTGCTGTGCCATTTGACATGACACGTCACCTCTGAATACTTCAGCATGCATCTCCTAAGAACATTTTCCTATGTAACTATTTCCATTATCGTGCATGTGAATATCAATATCTAATATCCAGTCCATATTCAGATTTTTCCAGCTGTCCCAAAAATGTTTTTTAGAGCTAGTTTTTGTTGTGTAGGCGTTTTAAAATTGGGATCCACATACTGCATTTGGTTGTTAGGTCTCTCTCCACTCGGTGGATATTTGTTGGCCACTAACCTTCCTGGGAGGAGTAGGGAAGTTTTGGTCACCACCTCCTTCTCCTTTACCCAGAAGTTAAGTTTAGAGTTGGCATGTGCAGGCTTTGGCATAAATGCTACCAGGTACTGATGAAGAAAGATGCTCTTCTTGCGTTAGAACACCCATGTAATCATCTGCAGAAGCAGCTTTGCCTCCAGGGCTGCTCCGTGTCTGCGTCTCCTCCTTGCTCTCCTCGCCCTCTCCCCAGGCCTCCCCTGGAAGAGGAAGCAGGTTTGCTCCCAGGGTATAATTACCAGGAGGGAGCGCTGCCAAAGCCTGACTTGGCCGCTGTGTGTGGTCGCAGAGCTGCTGGGAGGGGCATCTGACGAGGGTGGGCAGCAGCTGGGTGGCTAGAGTGACTCTCCTCCCACAGGAAGTGGTGAGAGCTGACTTCCTCTGCCAGCACGCCTCCTGCTTTGCTGTAGGTGAAGGACTGTTCTTGTCACGCCTGGGGCCATTCTGCTACTGCACTGCAGGCTGAAGGGGAGAAGGTGGCCAGGCCAGCCTGTGCCTTCTTGTCATGGTCCCAGTTCAGAAAGGGCCTGGCATTCTCTCGGCATCAGTGATTCGTTACAAGGGCAGGGGAGGGACGTTTTTGGACATCGTGATGCCTGAGGAGTGCGACATGAACTTAGTGGACAGAGCTGGAGAGGCCGCAGGGCCCACAGGATGCAAGCCGACTTAAGTGTGCTGTCCAGTCCTGCATACGCCTGATGAGCTCAACATCAAGTGTGTTAAAGTACATCTGGTTTGTAGCAGATTGTTTGAAAGTAAGATGGAGGCATTATTTATCGCAGTCTGGGTTTGCTTTCACCCCCATGGAAAGACTTCCCGCTGGAAAGTTATGAGGGAACACATGTGGATATAAAGGGAAAAGACACACCCCAGCACCTTTCCCGGGCTTTTGCCGTGGGTGGGCTGCACAAGGGCCTTGTGGTTGGGCTGTGGTTACCCTGGCAGGGACCCTGGGCTGTCCCCACAAGGGGCCTGAGACTACCGTGTAGTCCAGAATAAGGCGATTTTCCCTAATGGGCTCAAGATAGACTGGTGAGAAATTATGCTTGTAGCCTGGCCCCAGTCCACCAAGCCCTACTAGCTTCGTTTAGAAACAAGAACTAGACAGGAATTGTTCCCCGAGCGATCATCCCCAGAGCCAGCGTGAGCAGCTGCCCGCCCGTCACGCCCGGGACAAAGCTGACTGCAAATCCCAGGCAGCCACCTGTGGAGACGAGACACTGCTGTGGTACGGTTCAAGGCGAGAGCCCTGGGCTGGGGCCGCAGGCAGGGCCTGACCAACTGCGCCCCCAGGGGCAAATCCCTGCCCCTCTCAACTTGTAAGAAAGAAGAGGGACAAGACAGGACAGGATCAGCGGTTTCTCCCTCTTCCGTTTCCTGAACCAAGGCCTTTAAGGAGAGTTTTCTCAGAATTCGAACAAAGTTGACCATCATAATGCTTTTTGCCCGTGGCTTATGATGACCTGGTTTTTCTTTAATATTCTTACGGAAACAGACGTGGGACTTCAAAACTAACATTATTTGGGGTGACTTAGAAACATTCAAGTGCATGTCTTTCACGCGTCTGTGAATTGGTAGACGCCCTTTACGGTGGCTGTGAGAACAGGACTGACTCCAGGGGCTGGCGTGATGGCGAATTGCGGCAGCGCAGGTGCGGCCCTCAGCACAGCACCTGACGCTGCTTAAGTGCTCACTGTCGATGCTCCCGCTGCTGCTCCCGTTGCCATCACACCCTGCATGAGCTCCCCGATGGCCAGTGTCCCTGGCTGCTGACACTCCTCACGGCGGGGGAATCAGTGCGTCTCTGCTGCTTCTCATTTTGGGGCCGCCGCGCATATATATACTCACAGCTCATTGAAAACCAGAACCGGTGTTGCCCACCCGCCCTGTCACTACAACTGCCTCTTATGCAAAGATCTGTTGGGTTTTCTAAGGGTTTAACTTAACAGTTAAGGGAAAAGAGAGGCAGTTTATGAGATGGAAATCCCAGAGCAACTGGATTAAAGTTCAAAGTAGGTGTCCTTAGGAAGGCTATAAAGAGATTTTTTTAACTGCTTTCAGGCCTGGTCACCAGTCTTAGCCCTTAGATGGCCGTAGCTTTCCTGACTTCTCTCTCCACACTCCCTGGGACTCCTGGCTCTAACAGAAGGTTTTTCTGGCCTGTCTGGTGTCTCTTGGTGAGACCTGTGCCTCCTTTCTTGCTCTGAGTATGCTCCACTGAGGTAGTGCAGCTGGGTCCTTGCCTTTGAGCCTCCAAGATAAGGACATAGAGCTGTGGGCTGGTGGTCCGAGCTGCCTCTTGCCAGATCCCTGCTCCCCACTCACGCCAGACTTGCACGGAGGGAAGGCGTTTACACACATACACCCCTCTGAGAGTCCTGAGAAGGCAGCACAGGCAGCCGTAGAGAAGCATGGGCTCCCCCAGCAGCCCAGCGGCGAAGCCCGGAAGCCCTGCTGTTGAGCCCTGCCACCTCCTGCCCTGTCTGCACACTCCAGCCCTAACTATGACCTCTTGTCCTCAGGGCGATCCCAGGGCCACAGACATCTTGAGGCCAGGCCACGCTGACCGTTTTTAGCCTTACCAGTGCTGTGATCAAAGAGAAGGTTATAGAACACCAGCTTTGTGACAAGAACCACAAGGAGGGAAAGCCAGGGCAGTTGGAGCGGCTTCCTTTCAGTGTGGCTCAGAAAGAGGATGATTCCCAGGGACCCCCAGGGGAAGGGCTCTTCCTTTATGCTCCTCTGAACAAAGAAGGCTGAGCCTGCTCACGGGTGGGCATGCATCACCTTGATAAACATAATGATAACAGTGAGGAGTGTGGGATGTAGGCATTACGGGGGTGGGGGGGTATAGGCCTTTCAGATACTGAGTCATGAAAGAAGTGTCTCCCTTTCTGTGGGGAAAACATTTCTCTCCCTTTACTGGGGATTGATCTGGCCATTTTTGAAACACATTCAGAGTTAGTTACATTGGAATGGCAGTGGTTGGTTTAATTCTCTTGCAGGCAGACTGTGAGCTGGGAGAGCAGGTTCTCGCATCCTGTTTCCCGCAGAGCTGCTGAGCCACGGTCACAGGAAGGAGCATGCGTGGCTGCAGCAAGCCCTTCCCAAGTGGGCGCTTTCCGCCCCCCAGCTGCCTACCACTCACTGATACGTTCAGGCAATAGGTCCTCTTCTGAGCTTCTCTGTAGCTAAATCACCCGTGTGTGTCCTGGTGAAGTGTTCAGATGTGTGGTGCCAGGCGTCCTGCGTAAGCATCTCTGTGAGTCCCAGGAGCAGCCACGGCTCAGTCCCCGGGGGGGCAGAGTGCTTAATTCTGGGGCTCTCCACCTGTAAGGAAACCAGAGGGTGAACCTCTGAACAGGAAAATAGTTTGTCTCCCTTAAAGAGAGACCAGAATATTGCTGCATTTTGACACATTTCCCCAGTGATCACCAAGAACGCTTTTGTTTTCTCAACACACCTGTGGGCGGGGCAGAGTGATTGCCCTCTAGGCGCTCATGGTTGGCGGAGGGCGGGGCGGGGGGGGCATGGGAGGCGGGGCGCGCGCACGCACAACTAGCAGTGGCCCTTTAGCGAGACTTCCCCCTGTGGACTGGGCAGCGTGTTAACACTTCCCTTTCAGTAACCCTACAAGATAGTGCCGTCGTCCTTTCTCACCCGGATTCTGGCTCGAACTGGCTTGGCCCGAGCCCCTCAGCCAGGCGGTTGCAGAGTCAGGGTGAGACATCAGGTCTATCTGCTCCAAAACCCTATCTTACCTGCTCTGCTCCGTGGCTGTAATTGAAAACCTGTGTCATGAAAAAGACAAAGGCAGCCATCTGGTCAAGGGGTCGCAGCCCCAAGAGTCTTGCCTGCGTTCGTTTCGGCAGCACATATACTGAAATTGGAACGATTCCACGAGGACTAGCGGGGCCCCTGCACAAGAACGACACACGGGTCCCTGAGGCATTCCCTGTGCTGCTTACGTTGTAGAGCCCAACTAATATAATGCTCTGTCCGTTACACCTCAATGAAAGTATTTTAAAAGTCCTGACTAAGACCTGGGCATCTTTAGTACTGGTCTCTAGCTCGCAGCACGCTGACAGCTCCGCCACAGGGTGGGCACTGCTTGGTGGTGCCAGGCTGTCGGCCTCTGAGGGAGAGAACCTGGGGGAACAGGTAGGCAGGAGGCGCATTGCCCGTGGGGGAGCCTTCGCGGCGCTGGGGCAGGGCGGCCTATGCAGAAGCCGCAGCTGATGTCCCGTCACCCAGTAACCCTCAGCATCTTGTGTTTCCTTGTCCTTCTCCAGGGCTTTCTCCCAGAAAACAAGTTCAATCACACCCTGACCGAGCCTGTTCTTCGAGATGCAGGTCCCCGCAGGAGGGGGCGGCGACCTCGGAGCGAGCTCCTGAAAGCTCCCGCCATGGCGGCGGACTCGCCCTCCGGAATGGGGCCGCTGTTCATGAACGGACTGATTGCTGGGATGGACCTGGTGGGACTTCAGAACATGCGGAATGTGCCGGGCATCCCCCTCACAGGGCTGCTGGGCTTCCCAGCCGGCTTTGCCACAATGCCCACGGGTGAAGAGGTCAAAAGCACCTTGAGCATGCTGCCCATGATGCTGCCGGGAATGGCCGCCGTGCCCCAGATGTTTGGTGTTGGGGGACTCCTCAATGCCCCCATGGCAACTACCTGCACTTCGACTGCTCCGGCGCCTCTGTCAAGCACAACGAAAAGTGGTACATCGGTGACCGAACAGACTGCAGAAGATAAGCCAAGTAGCCATGACGTAAAAACGGACACTTTAGCTGAAGACAAGCCTGGTCCTAGTCCATATTCTGATCAGTCCGAACCTGCAATAACTACGAGTAGTCCTGTGGCTTTTAACCCATTTCTCATCCCAGGAGTGTCTCCTGGACTCATTTACCCATCCATGTTTCTCTCCCCTGGTATGGGCATGGCTCTGCCAACCATGCAGCAGGGCAGACACTCCGAAATGGCGGGGCTGGAGAGCCAGAAGAGGAAGAAGAAGAAAACAAAAGGGGACCACCCGAACCCCAACCCAGAGTCTGCCCCCGGGTCGGACAGGGAGCCAGGCAGTGATCAGAACTTCCCCGAATCCAGGGCGCCTGTGCCCTCAGATAGAGAACATGCGGCACAGTCCGGGGACGCGGGCCTCAAAGACTCAAACAGTGACACCAATTAGAACTTTTCTTTCATTTAAGAGATGATGTGACTTGTAAGTTTCTTATCCCATAAAGGTTTGTTACTTCCCTCCCTTCACCTTCATAAGAACCTGTGTTTCCATAAGTAATATTTACCTACCTAATTTCCTGTCCGAGAACTATGGTAACAGATGTTCATAGTTGCAGGGTCTTGCCACTTCATTAGATAAGTGTCGTCGACCTAGTCTAGGAGGCACAGAATTCTCACTCTGTTACCCAGTCGTTCATTCCAGCAGTCGTAGTTAATGCAGTACTTGGTGACACGCCCTACCCCCTTCTCTTCCAAGTTTCCCACTTATTTGAGGAGGAAAATGGCATAAGAAAGCTGTCTAGGGATTTACCATTGAAGGGCTGAAGAACAGAGACGGTGGCTCTTTTTTTTTCCGTGAGCTGTATTGAATGAGAGGAATGTAATGGGGAACCAAAAAGCACAGGGAAAGGAAGTGCTGGTGCACATTTTTTAGTTAAAATATTTCCCTATTTTACGATTACTAAATGAGTAGTATAGACAGAAGTATATAACTAATGGCTGAAAATGCATATATTCATTTCTTTATAAAACAGAAACCTTACTGGTAGTAAATTAACTTCCCCCTTTGGGTTTTTCAGACACCTGCAGCAAGAAGAAATACTGACTAAGGCATTATTTTATATTCATATGTTCTCTCTCCCAAAGTAAAGGATGATTCTCAGTACGAGGAAGCTTTACACACCTTGAGTGGTTGCTGGTGGCGGGGGTGGGCAGGGGCTCGGCCTCCGTGGAGCTGCACCCCGCTCCCCGCCTGCTCCAGGACTGCTCCAGCCGCTCCCGGGGCCTGGTGGGTTTGTAGTTTGTGCTCTCGTTCACCAAGAATCAGGCTCTTCCTGGAGCCTGCGAGAAAGCAGTCACTCTACACTTACACTTCCTAGGTCCTTTTGTCAAATTATTTGAGGTTGTCCAAACACGGGTGTACCATCTTTTATAAGACTGTGAAAAGGTTTTCTTCCTCTATCTGGTTTTATGTTTTACAGTTGAACCCAGGTTCCAAATCATCAAGTTAGTCGAGACTGTCGCAGATTAACTTCATTTTCCCCCTTCCCGCCGGAGCAGCACTTAGGCGCGTTCAGCCCTCCCACTCGTGTTCCCCCCCCTCCGGAACCTCCCCCGTTATTGGCAGTCCACACTCTGAGACTTGAAATGAGCTCATGGTTCAGTGCTCTGGGGGCACAGGGCGGTGCAGGACCGTTGGAAATGTTGGAAGTGTTACTAGTACCGGTTTCACTTTTTTGTTGTCACAATTTACTGTATTTTTTACTTTTTCTGTTACCGTTTTTGCTAATTTATCAGAAGGTCCAAAAGTTTGACATAACTATTTCAGTTTGCATTATTTATTTATGATGGTTTTGTCATTGTCTTTTATACATTTGGGATTATAAATTATGTAAATGTTAAAATGAGCATCTCAAAGAAGTCTGTTAAATGGTAACCGGAAAAATCAATCAAGTGTATTTTCAAAAAGTGGCGTCCCAGTTTTATGAATCAGAGCTATAAATCAGAAAATCTATAACTGATCATATAAGAAGAAAGAATCCAGTAATTGAACAAATCCTATTTAATGACATCTTTATAGCATAGATGGTCTATAATGCTGACAACAGATTTCTTAGAAATGCTGCTCTCTCTATTTAACTAACATTTTGTTCAGTTTTGCCTCCAGTGGAAGCAGAAAGGGTTTTTTCAGCTGTTAAATCCTAAAAAATCAATATAATTTATTTATGTAAAAAAATCACTCAATCAATATATTTTTGAACCTTTTAAGTACTAATTTTCTTTTTATCAAGTAGAAAAAAAATGTATTTGCCCTAAATCCTTAAAATACAAATGCTATAAAAATTCATGTATCTTGAAAGCCTTACTGCAAATGAGTATTATAGACATCCAGCAGAGCCTGGGTGTTCTTTGTCTTCGTCGTCCTCGTTGTTTTGTATGGAAAAGCTGCTTTCCCCAGGTTCCACGTAGAACCTCCAGTAGGTCACAGGGTTCAATATGGATTTGATTTTAAAACCCACCAGCATGCTCTACCCCTTGTTACAGCTTATCGAACCTGTATGTTAACTCTCTGGGTGTTTAGGCTTATATTTGACTGCTATTGTGTCCCTGTTTGCAAAATGAAAATGACACTTTGTGGATTATTTTCTCTGTAAGGCATAAGTGCTTCTTATGATTATTTTGACGTTTTCAAGAGCAAAAGCCAAATTTAAACTCTTCAGCCAACTTGAGCCTTTTCATCAAATTCCATGTCACTCACAGCCATAACTTCCCTTGATCGTTACTCACCCCATGTCTTACATAATAAATTGTCTGTGGTCTTGATCCTGGATTTAAAAAAAAAAAAAAAAAGAAGTTGATAAGTCAAGTTTGTATGTGAGGACTTCAGTAGCACTTGGATGTCTCTTGCTGCCTGGGCACTTTCTGAATGTATCACCTGCACACAGGAATTCAGTCTTTCCTAGGTGCACCCTGTCGGGGGCCTGTTAATGTTCATTCAGGAGGGTTGACTTGACCTGTCTTCCGACCTCCCAGGGCACCTGGTTGGAAGGGGTGCAGCACAGCTCCCCAGCCTCGACCCGAAGGCCTTGGCAACGCCACTTCCCTCAGCCCCGTTCCAGAAGCCCCACCTTCAATCACACGGCTAGGACTCAGGGTGCAACTAGACCTCTGTGGACTGGATCAGATCTATGAAACACAGGGACGCCGGTGTAGCTGGAGCTTGTTAAGAACTTTACAGGCCTTCATGTTGGGAAGTGTCACTTCTCCAGCCTGGAAGGGCTGTGTCAGATACTGTCCACAGGGCTGGCATAAAAGTGCTGAAGCCTCGGTGAGAATGAGCGAGATGACCATCTCCCCCCTCCCCCCCCGCCCCGCCCCGTGCTGGGTCCCTACTAAGTACCAATAGATGGTGGATGAATAGCCTTAGAAGATGGGTGGGAAGTTGTTGATAAGGCCTTAGTGGCCAGCTATCATTTTCAAAGTAAGGATGTAGTATAGGCTTTATAGATCTTTAGTCAAGACTTGGAAAGCTCTCCTGGGTAGAGGAATGATTTATGCAGAATTTATAGGAAAGAGTCTTGGTTTCATTCATGACCTCAAAGCCTGCCCCAGTAAATGTCACCTCTTTGGACAAGGACAAAGGAGTCCAGGTAGCCCAATGCACTGGGTCAGTGTTGTAGTGTTTTGTGTGTGTTCTCCTTAAGTGACCTCCTTTGTCCTCACAGTGTCCTGGTTGCTGGGTAGAGAGACGGTTGGCATGCCGTCTGCCTAATGAAAGCCAACAGAAGGCCGCAAAGCTCACTCATCAATCATGGAGAACAGAGCTGGGGCTAGGCCCCTCTGTCCCACCAGCCCGAGGTTGGAGCACTTCAGCCTTTGTAAAGCCGACTGGGCCCCTTCAACCTCAGAAACCAGCTCTGACCGAATCATACTCGGAAACACTGGCGCTGGGAAAAACAGAACAGTCCGGTCACACCCTCTGGAAAACTTTATACTTGATTCATTTACACCAGATCTCTTAAAATGGTTTCTTGCAAGAATGTTCATTTGGACTGCAGATTCCAGAAGGATCTCTTTCTTAGGTCAGCCAAGGAGGACTTCACCCAGCCCCGTGACTAGCACCTTGGCTTCTCAGGACTCAGTCTCTGAGGTCCAGGAGCAAGAGGGCAGGTCTGCAGGACAGGCGGCACAGGCCTCCTTTTCAGACTTGGCAGGGTATCTGTGG